GCTTACGACATTAATCGCATGCAGTAACCACAAGCAATTCAGAAAATTGTCCACTATTATATTCATTACCAATGATACAATACCATGTATACAAGAACAAATGAGTGATTTTTGACAATTAAAACTTGATCAGGTTCTAGTGCAATCAATGCTCGCCGAAAAAAATATTGAAATATATAATGAGGATGACGCTCAGGTGTCTTAGTACTAATTACTTCAAATACTTGCAGATATCATCTCCGCCATACCATGTTAGTCAACAGCGTAATAACATGACTCATCTGAGCAGTTTTAGACAGGAAAACCTTTGTATATTTAACCAGCGGGGACGTTCTTAACTGTCGTAACACTTCATTTGAAAAAATAAGGATTTACGCGGATGGTCGAAAATTATAGGTTTCACGATACAAAACCTTATTCTGGTCAAAAGCATATATCAAGTCTATTGTATTAAAATAGTAACACCCAAAATCATCTTGTTGTTTTTTTTTCAAAGAAACATCAAAAAAAAATTTTTATACAGACTAGCAGTGTCTCAAAAATCTGCCATTATAAAAATAAAGAAAATTAGATAATTGTAGTCACAAAATATACAGTTTTGGTAATGAAATAATAAGAATAATAAGCAAAGACATTATAATTTGTTATCTTCATTCTCTTGCCTCCCCCAGCTTTTTGTTTATTCATCAACCATAAACAGAATAACTTTATTTTGTGAAAATATGTCTAATAAGATGATCATGGTAAACAGAAAGTTACTAGTATATACATCATTTTTAAGTCTTCCATTTATTAAGTTACCATTTGGGTGACATCAAAATAAAAGAAGAAAATACTTGTGGTAATTCACTGAAAGGAGACAACAATCATAATAAAATTCTTATAATTCAAATAAATAAAGTTTCCCAGGAGAAAATTTACCTCAGTCTGATAATGACTTTAAGTTATCATGATAGGTCATTTAAATTTACAATTACTGGTACTAAGTTAACATAGAGATTATTAGGTAGAAAATTACAAGTTTGACTCCCAAGTTATGTCATATTAAAGCTGGATTATTATGTAGCTACAGAAATATAACATTTTACTGCTTCAATGGATTCAAACTTTGGAAAGTTTTATTTACTAATTCTGTATGAAAGTGAAAGCATTGCTTTTATGCTTGAATAACAGAATAAAACAAAATACTTCAATATTTGACAAGCACTCATTCAAAACTGTTTGACATAATTGATCAATATATCTTGAAAGTTACAGAAATTCTCTGGTTGCTGCCAAAAGTTTTTCATATATAATATAAATAAAATAATATTTTCCAATTTCATTGAAAGATCAAGTCCAAGGAAACAATTGTGATCAAACTTTAGACATGAAGCAGAAATCTGCATATTGTCTTGCTTTTAACTTCCTTTTAATAAAAACTTCAAAATAATGAGTTTTCTCAACAAGTATGTAAAAAAACAACAATTTTCATTGCTATTCCTTCAATGTTTTTATATCATTTAAACAAATATTGAAATTACGGAGAGCGCCAAAAATATCTATTTAAGTTCAACATAAAACTTGATCGCCGAGTCTTACCATTTTAAAGTGTCCGTTTTATTATGTTTTTTCTCATTTTCAGTCCATTTGATACAAATCTACTTCAAAGAGTATTGCAATGATTATAAGGCAGCGATAAGGTAAGAGGAAAGAACAATATTATTAAATTATTGTAAAAAAGAATGGAATATTAATAACAATCTTTTGATATTTGCCGAATTTATTTAATTACAATCTCAAGTGACCTTAAAGTGGTAAAATCTGACAGGAAACATAGATCAATATTAGTTTACGATATTGTGTACGGATTAAGAACAAGTAAAATGAACATTGGCGTCTTACATCGAAAAGTATCACTTATTTAAAATTGCGTGTTTCATTCAAATCTAAATGGAGATAAAAACCAAATTACCATCCCCAGCTTACAGAAAGTACATCAAACATTTTTGGTGAAAAGAGTATGACCTTTACAAGCTATCATATTTGTAATTTCTTATTTCGCCTAACAAAAAAAAAGAAATTGTTAAAAACGATATTGTGTAATTTTTTTTCACAGGTAGCAATTTCACTTGTAACTGATACAAATGAGATATTTAAAGGCCGCGCCATCGAGATGTCCTGACTATATCCCGTATTATAACAAGTCGACATGAGCGAACCTTTGTCAACAATAGACAATTGTCCAAATTTCAGCGAGAAAATTGCGATTTAACCGTTGACAAGTTTAATATCTTCCCAGTAATTGCCGTTCAAATAGACAGTATTATTGTGAATAAAAATTTTGATTTATCTCTCTAGTACGAGCTAGAAACTGATATTCATTTTATCACAAAATAATGGTTACTTTTGTTAAAATGATAAAAAAAGAAAAAAAAGGCAGGGGGCAATCATTTTGACTTACAAAACTTCAGACTTGATTGATTATAAAAGGCTTAAACTAAAAAAGAGAACAAAATGTTGTTACATTTAAAATAAACACTTTAATTTTTATTCTTTTCCTTTCACTTTGCAGCAAAAAAAAAACCCTACTTTTTTGTAACATAGCCGATTGTATCTTTTTAGAAATCTTATTGATGACTGTTCATCGCTTTTTGTTTATCAATTTTATTGATGAATAGAAAAAAAGCAAGAATCTTTAGTCACCTCAACATCCTCTGCATTTTTTATTAGCTCCAATTCAATTTTGTTACAGATATTAATTAAACCAGCAAAAATGGAAAAAGCATCTATTTTTTTAACAAAGTTGACATCTGACTCATTAAACAGAGTAACTATATCGATTTTTTCTAAAATTACACCCAATTTGGATTTTTCCATTACATGATAAAATCTAATTCATCGATTTTTATGAAAAAATTCTGAAAAATTATAATCATACTAGATTACTTTCTAAATTCTAGTTCACAGCCATTTCATTAAATTCTCACAGGTCATTCATATCTGCCTTCAAATTGTTTTTTTCCATAGAGACATACTTGATATTTCTAAATTTCTAATGTTTACAACAATATGTTGTTTTCTTAAATGACAGAGTAATATTATATGTTTATAGCTTTTAAAGAGCTATCAAATGTCCTTGATTAAAACAATGTAACTGTTACTAATACTAATGGAGGTATATTGGACACACTACAAGTTCTTAATTCAAGACCATGAAATCTCCAATTCTCAACTCAATTTTCCTTTTATTTACAAATATGTAGAGAGAAAAGGTCTTATAATTGTCAGTTAGATAATACATTTGACTCTTTTCTTTGACTGCAAGTAAAGCAAGAGCAATAAAGGAATTTTCTACGTTTATATGAGAGAATAATTCCACAAAACCCTTAGTATTACACTTCTTGGCAAGTATGAGCCTAAAGACATGCATATAGTTTCAAATGCATTCCTTCAGCAGTTGTGAAAATAAAAATTGCATGCAAAATCATTATGCCTTCAAAATTACCTTCCATAATTATTCAGAAAACATGTGAGAATACCTCTGGTAGGTAAAAGATGACAAAGGTGCCGCCAACGTCAAGGCAAAAAGTATAGCAAGCAACCCTTGACCGAGCGATACATTATACAAAAGCAATGGCCAACATCAAGGCGAATGGCCCAAATATTATTTTAAGTGGATCAATGGCTGATTATTGTGGGAACCAATTCCCTAATTATCTATAGATACACATTATAGTCCCAATAATCTCAAAATCATTATATCTCTAATCCATGTCAATCACACAAAGACACTCTTTGATTTTTCAAAGGGATGGCAGTGAAATTTGAATTTACTTTCTTAATTTACCTGGGACTGAAAAGGAATTTCACCCTTTAACTTTCATAAACATGAGAATTGATACCATAGCCAGATTTGGCGAAGATTTTCCACAATTTTCCTGTCAACCATATGCCAATCATATGCGATCTTTCTCCCTGTTTAAGCATGATAGATTTCACTTTAATGACTGATGTCATTTCTACGTTGTTTAAGTAAATATGCTCAAGTGACTTAAATACCCATGATCCTTACCTTTAGAAGAAAGCCTCAAACAGAAGCGTTGAATTTCAATACTGCATCTAAATTAAAATCTTCCGAAAGGCCTTTAAACGTTGATTGCGATATAATGAACCAGGCACTTCCATTTCTATAAAATGACACCCACGATTCATACAATACTATTGTGAGCAAGTTTGAATTGTCAAAAAATTTACGCCTGACACTTTCCATCTGCATTGAAGACTTGTTGAAGGAACGTATGTGCTAACGTTATCACTTTTAATCAAAAACAGACACTCATCTTCTATTACTGTCAAGTATAATAAATTCAATGACAACAATAGAAATCTGTTGACACTATGTAAGAAAAAAAATCTGAATGAAACTCATAGAATTCTTATCTAGATTCCTGCTTTATTAGCACCTGCTTCTATCAAATTCATACAAATGTATATCTAGACAGTTTAAAATATTAAAAATTAATCATCAAAGATTCTGTGAAACTCAGGGGTTACTTGATAAATGCCAATTTGCCTACTAAGGTCTTTTGAAATAAAATTATTGTGTGAAAGGTTGAAGAGCTTGTCAGTAGCAAGACCATGTATTTTGTAAAGGCAAAATGGTTTTAAAAATGGCCTAGAGTACTGGGCACTTTGGGATAAAAACATTCAGTACTCTTCATTTAGTGGTACAAAATGCTGATGTTTGCATTTAAAATGAAAGGAGATCCTTTTCCAGGAACTGGATTCTTAATGAGATAAAAAATTCAGACGAGTTTTTCAAAATTTGATTAATAACTTCATAACTATAGTTTAATTTTGTAGTAAATTGTCATAAAGCTTGCTTTCAGACTATGCCTTATTCATACAAGTAATCAATCCAGCTACATTAGTTTCATCAATACATAATAATATCTTAAATTAATCAAACATGGAACGTTAAGATTAGTTTTTTTTAAATAAATTTTAAAAATGCTAACCTGTTTTGTTCATCTGTAGAAATTCCTGGCACAAATGAGGAATGCTTTCCTTGTCTCCCATGGCAACAAAAGTTGTTTCCTGTCCGGGAGCATTATGGGATGGTCATCCATCAGGATTGCTGACGCTAAGCTGGACATGTGAGTGGACAGAAGGGCTGGAAACTTCTGAAACAAAACAAATACCACTCAATATACTGACAAAGTTCACACTTGAATTTCTTTACAAAAATCTAAAGATTGTTCTTATGTTTATGCCGAACTTGTCTTTGAAGCACACAAAAAAAAGTGAACAGTAATGAAGTGTTTTTTTATCAAATGTCTGATAGACAATCCTTCAAATTATGAAATTATATTGGCGTGAAGTATCCAGCTCATAAAAAATAAAGTCTGAATTATAGAATTAGTTATTAATCATAAATTTTTTAACTAAATTTAAAGTTGCTTTTACAGTCTTGTGCCCTTAATCACTGTGGGTTCAAATCTTACAAGAAACAATGACTTCTTTATAAATTCAAGAAACAAACAAACAAACCATAAGACTATGGATCTAGAATGATGTCAAATTTTGCTTCACAAAAATACAGTATGGTGGCAAGAACCATTTTGTTTACAGTTTGTTGTTGACAAAATTAAATTATAATAACAGATGTTCAATGAGATGAAGGTATAAGAAAGAAAGGAAGAAAAAGAAATGAAGGCAACATAATCATGTTTTATAAATCAGGTTACTATATACTACAGAACAATATAGGTAGAAATCAGGGGTTGACTGCAAAACTCTTGTAAGTCCTTCTTTATTTCATACAAGTAACAGCAGTTTTGCAGTTAATCCTCGATATATCTGTGAAACGTTACTTGAACAAAGTTAAATTCTTATTTTAATGAATTCATTACCATAGGTAACTGTTAAACATCTTTTTATCTGTAAGTCATCTCACCAAAGTTTTACACCGCTGTGGTTCCGTACCATGGTCAAACAAATGTGCGCCCCGCTAAGTTACACCCAAATACCGTATCATTCCGGCAGTGAATTTCTGTAAGAAGATACATTACTTATGAAGAAACAATTAGAGTACTAATTGATGGTTTCAAACTTCTAGCCTCTAATTTTCAAACATATACACCTACGAAAACTGGTCATTAATCATTTGTGATAAAATCGAAAAATACCTAAGTAATTCAACAGTTCAATTTCCGACAAAGAAGTAGTCAATATATCTTAATTATTCAATTACAGTGACAAAACGTCTTGAAATCATATTTCAGTTTAAACATCATTTTGTTTGCTAAATGATAATTTTAGGGAATTAAATGTTGTCACTGTGCCTCTTAAATCAGCCAGTGCTCATTATTAGGCATTAAAGATGCGGTCAAGATGGTCAGACATTTGTCCATTTGAAGAATACGATGCCGAACACTAAAAAGTTAAAATATACCAAATTTCAATGCATTGTAATTCACATGTTTTGACAATTTGTAATTTGAATATGGGAAATATTTTGTTAAAATTTTAGGAAGAGTGAAAGATAATTGTCAGTGTTAAATTTATTAAAAGCAAATATACTACTTACGGCACATATAATTTAGGTTTAGATTCATTTGCTAGTGGGGCCATGACAGGGGGAACCTTTAATCACCAGACATTTGTGCATTTGATGAAAAGTTTGAACTGTTTGCAAGCCAGTCAGTTTGAAATTTACACTAAAATGATACACTGTTTTGTACATACTGAAAGATGGACAAGTACATTTCAATTGTTTAGCAAGGTAAAGATTACATAGTCAACTACTCAACTTCTGTTCAACTAAATCTTCTACTGTGCTGAAGAGCTTTCACCTGAACCTGTCTCTTTTAAAACATTTAGTAATGGAACGACCTATTTTAGGCAAAACTCTATTTCTGAAGACCTCTTAAACCTTTACTCTGCAAAAAATTATATGGTGGGTCTGCCCTTCTTTGAATTTGGAACTGTTTGAACCTACAAATGAGATGGACTTCACAATTCATATACAGTATGTATATCAAAATATAGTATATGAGTCTAGTCAAGATAGTTCAGTGAGTTTATGTAACATAATGTCAACAAAAGCTTGTCATAACAATGTCTCTTATATTTTCACCATTTTTATCATCCCTGCATTATTTTGTCCATATAAAATACTCACTTCAAAGGCTGTTGTTGTATTACCCATGTAAAAGGATTTGTAGGGCTTGTTGGGAATGTAAATAACAGAATTGACATGTGTTATAGTCCATTATTTGAGTGTTAAAATACCGAGTCTTTAGTTATTATCTTACTTCATATCAATGGGCACTAGTCTAGAAAATTCCTTTGTTTTAAAGTATTCAAGAACACCCCTTCAAGAACCTGATATAACCAACAAAATTGATATAAGCAACCTTAACTACACCTCTTCTCTGAGGGAGGGAGGGGCAGGAGGGCAAGTAAGTCCTGCTGTGCCAGTTACCTGGCTAAAGGGAGGTAAAACAAGCATGACATTTTCACATGAACTACAGAGTAATCTTCCTTATACATCAAAAGCAAGGTCAATTGTAATCATTCCTAATTTTTTACTTTATTCAATTAATGCACTTTGGTTAATCTTACATAACCAGTTTACAAATTATGGATATTTAGCAGTGTTAAGCAAATTAAAGGGACTCCACTGAGGGTTTTTAACATGAAAGGACTTGAAATATTTTTTCAAGATTTGTTTAGTCTACCATTAGATCAATAACTTGTGTGCAAAATTTCGGATCATTTGCCTCTTTCTTCTAGAATAATTGTGTCATTGTGAAAAATGATCATAAACAACAAGTGTTGCAACGTTTTTCACTAAAAACAGGCTAAAAATCAGCTTTTAATGTATCCCTGTACTGCAACTTTCCAATCAGCTAACATATTTTTCTACAATAACTGACAGTGAAATCATAAAACATTTTTTTTTCTTTTCCAATTCTGCAAATGTCATCATTTCAGCTAATAAATGCAACAACTTTTTGAAATTTTACCTGAATTATTAGTATGTATGGTAGACAAACCATAAATGAACCATTTTCCTGTCCTTCAAAATTTCACAACCACTTTTCAATCAGTTAACAAATTGTATACTGTACCACATAAAAATTGTTATACAATGTTAAAATATCACCAGTTATGTATTTTGAAGAAATTTTGAATAATCAATTACACAACAACTTTAAATAAATGGCAACAAGAAACATGGCAATGCCACGAAACCAGGTTTTCAATTATCACCATTGCAGATAAATATGTTGTAGTTGAAATACAAATACAAGCAACTAACAATGTACCTATGTGCAATGTAAAATGTGAATAATGTAGGAGAAATTGCGCACAGAAGAAATTGTTCACTATATATTATTTATAAGTATATAATGACCTGTATAAATCTCTTAGGGTCTTATCAAAAGTAACAAATAAAGACATTAATAGAAACATACATGTATATGTAGCTGCTGTGTTTGATTTTTTATGCTGACATTTTTTTTACCAAGATGAATATCAGGAATTCAATCTCTTAATATCAGGATCAGGGTTGAAATATCCGAATCTTTTTTAGTCCTGCCAGGATATCGCATGTATATGTTAAATAACAACAAGAGCCCGGTTTGAGCCGGGTGATGCTCCCCGAATAGGTTTTGGACACAGGAAAGTACACCTCATGAAGTTTTAGAGTTATGTCCCTGGAAAAAGTTTAAAGTCCAAAATTAGGCAAGGCAGAGTTACTGTTCTTTGCACTGCACTTCTAATCAATGTGATCTATCAACCTACAAAGTTTCTTGATGATATCTCTTATGATTTCCGAGTTATGTCCCGGACAACTTCAAAAAGTAAAAATAAACAAAGGGCAATAACTCCAGAATTAGGCAAGGCAGAGTTATGATTCTTGTGCACTGCACATCTACCCATTGAGATATATGTACCTACAAAGTTTCATGTCGATATCTCTTATAGTTTTACAGCTATGTCCTGGACAAGATTTTTCTAAAAGGGGAGATTATTAAAAAAATGAGGCTTAACAGAGTTATGGTTTTTTTGCACTGCACCTCTACTCAATGAGATCTATCTACCTACAATATTTCATCTCGATATCTCTTATAGTTTTAGAGTTATGTTCCGGACAAAGTTCAAAGTGTTAAAATTAACAAAGGGCAATAACTCCAAAATTAGGACAAAAAGAGTTATTGTTCTTATGCACTGCACATCTACCCATTGAGATCTATTCACCTACAAAGTTTCATGTTGATATCTCTTATAGTTTTAGAGTTATGCCCCGGACAAGATTTTTCTATAAGGGGAGATAATTCAAAAACCGGGCAAAATAGAGTTATGGTTCTTTGACACTGCACTCCCCCTCAATGCCCTCTACCAGTGTATGAAGTTTCAACAAATTATCTCCATGGGTTTTCATGTTATGCTCCGGACAAGACAACGTACGAACAAGGCGCCGACTATATGCTCCCCCGAAATTTTTCGGGGAGCATAAAAACAACCAAGAAAACAGTTCCAAGGTAGTGCTATGTCACTGTTTAAAACATTTCATCCAATAACCAGGGTAAACATTTAATGCTGTTAACAAGGTATCACTTATTAAGGAATCGTCATTAGTAACACAAAACCATGATAATATACACAAGTGCTTGTCAATGAAAAAAAACAACTAGCGTGCTTGTATAACTGTGACAGAAATAATGTTCTCACCTGTATCACAGTTTATATCCATAGCTGCTTTCAGTATAGTTTTTTTGGAAACAAAACCGCCGAATGAAAACGACTTTCATTAAAAATTGCGCTAAATTCCGAGATGGTGTCGTATAGCTGGTTGCACAGGCTAATTAGTCATACATGCTATATTCAAAAAGAATGACAAGTCAACATGTATATACATATATTAGGGTTTTTATTTCTTAATGTGCACTATGGAACATGACATGATTTATGAGTATTATAGTGCAGGAGATGCATACGGACTAGCTTATTCAAGATGATTATATATGTAAACTCTAAAACGTGTGTATTGATATACATTATAAAATGTCCTTAGGACAGGTTGATATTATATATACTATTCTCAAAA